AGTTGAGTTCTAAAAACAAATGTGGCATTAACACCCACAAACAGCAAGTTGCGCTGTTTCATTTCATTTTCTGTAGCTTGTGACTACGGGGGAAATCCTTTAAAGCTTTTGATACTCTGAAGTGGAGTTCTTTAAAACATTTATGAACAAATAATATCTGTTCTTTGAATAAATGTAGATGAGCTGCTATGATGTTTGATCTGAAGGTGACACCAACAAAAGACACAAGGCGGAGCTGGAGGTAGGAATGACCAAAATGGACGGGTTTATAAAGAGATACGTCAGCGGGAGCGATCAGGCTGAGCAGTTTGGAGATAAAGTTGGTGAGACTGGAAGAATGGATATATTGGACACAGGATGTTGACTATATGCCAGGGGGAATGTAAAATGGAAGACACATGCAGGATCTGCATAGAGTTGGTACAACTGAAAATACTGCTATAAAAGAGATGTACTGTAGATMTCTCTGAGCCCACCTATAAGAATTATTGTCTGGATGTCTAAAAGTAAAAAAAAAACCTGCTTCAGCTGCAGTAAAGAAATTAGAACTTATTTTTGGAAACCACTGATGCTGTGGACGGCCCTGTCCATTCTAAAGAGGACAGGGCCGGTTATCAGCACACAGTTCAACGGTCTGCCTCTCTGATGGTCTGGAGGTGCATTATTATCAAAATGAGCTTATAAATCTGGAAAGGCACCATTAATGCAGAAAAGAATATACAGCTTTTAGAACACATGCTCCTATCCAGTAAAAAATAATTAAATTAAAATTAAAAATTGGCATAGAGGACCCAGAACTATAAAACTGCCAATTGTCATGGTTCTTGTTTTATGGTTTTTTAGAACTTTTCAGACTGTTTTTCATTGTTTGGTTTTGTCTTATTTTCTCATTTCCTGTTAGTTTTCTGTTTCTTGTATCATGTTACCCTCAGTCAGCTTCTTAGTGTTTTTTTTCCAGCCTGTCACACTTACCTTTCCGTAATCTGTAATCACCCAGGTGCTTCCACTCCCCAGTCACCCTCAGCTGTATTTAACCAGTGTCTTGTCTTCATTGCTCTATTGGATCATTGCCCTTTTCGTGTACCAAGCCTTGTTCTGGCCACTGTTAAAGTTTTGTCTTTTGCTGCCACGCCAGCCTTTTTCTTTTATTTAAAAGAATAGTTTTTGTTTTCACCTTGAAGTCATTGAGTCTGCCTGCATTTTGGGTTCCACCTTACAATAGCTTCACACCAATATTAGAAAAGAAAGGAACAACATTCCCACCAAACACTCCTGCAATTCGTCTCCTCGYTTCCTCAACATTTATAGATTGTTAGAAATGCAACCCTGCCCTAACGTTTTAAAAATTGTTGCTGCCATGTAGTTTGCTTGCTCAGCTCACAGCTCACTGTTATGCTGAGTGTGTATCTGCATACAGAGTGGGTACTTGTCATTCAATCACTAAAGCATTTTGGGGTTCATATTAACTGCCAGGTGTAAACGCTCTCAATCAGAGTTGTCCACTTCTAATTAAAGTAGCTGAAATCAATTCACTGTGAAGTACCAGATCTAAACAGGGCTTATTTCTCCAAACTGCAGGTRGTTCAAGGCTCAAGCCTGAGAATCCTCCAGTGTCTTCCTTTAAATATTAAAAGCAAAACTCAAAAGAAAGTACAGCTGCTGGTACAATAAAATAAATCTCGATATTGACAAGTAGTCTGTAACATACGTGGCATGTAATTGCTCCATCAATAACAACTTACCATCTATCTCCCCTGGCATCAGCTCTCTGTCCTGCAGAGAAGAAAAAGGACACAATGATAATGATTAGACATCAGTGTCACCGGGCGGCGTGTGAAACCAGGGTAGCTTTAAAAAGTAGTCCTCCTGAGAAATATCCAGCCATATTTTTTTTTTTTTGCTTTGCCTACCAAATTAGAACAACATGCATATCATGTCAACACTGCTATGTGCTGACAGGAAACTCTAATGGGATTTCACTCAGCAACACATCCCTCTAATTGGCAAAATGCTACAATCTTGCATGCTCCCACACATCTGCATAGTCACGCTGCATCCACAGCATCCTGAGGAGGAACGTAAGCATTGTTTCAGACCCTGTGCACACAGATCCACGCCCACGGATAGCCACATGACAAACCTTACGCATGTCACAAAAGGAACAAAAACATGGTTCTGGTCCTGCTCAGACAGATGTTTGCATACGGCCACGTGCGTGTGAGTCGTAGACGGTTTCCTAGCATGTTTTGACATTTGCTGGAGGTGATCTCTCCTTTTTCTCTCATCCTGTCTTTTTTTAAATGAGAGTCACAACTGGAGGCTAGAAACAAAATGTCCTCCTTAAGAACATTGCATGACAGTGGAATTTAGGTGTGCCGAGGGCAAGAAATAAAAATATCCTAATGCGTCTAGCTATGCACAGACAGGGGGACATTCCAGGTGAATAGATTCAAATATTTAAAGCGTTGTTTTATTTAACAATTCCTCTAGGTGAGAGTTTACATTACGGCATGCAGAATGAGTTAGCTTCATATTTATTTCACATTTCGTTGGCATATTAGGGTCATATGTTTAAAGAAAAAGGGCTGCTGGCTGTGTCGCCATCACACCAAAAATATAGGTTCAAATTTTATCTTAGACCAGTGGTGGATGAGTAAGGGGCATTGAAGGGGCCACAGGGGCCAAGCATGTGTTCAACATCTTTGCACATAAGTCCTCAGATTTGGTTAGGTTTATATGTTTAACCAGACATACATGCTCAAACATAGTTACAACAAAGCTTAAATTTCCCTTACCAATTTTACTGTACATAGATAAAATCTTCTCAAACACACAGCATGTGAGAAAATCCAGCCATTGTTTGTCAGTTGAAAGACTTCTTCTGCAGGATTGTTCAAATTTTCTCAAGAGAAAAAGAAGACTTCTGTAAGCTTGATTCATGCTGGACTTTCTTTTTTGACTCATTTGTGCCCATTAGTGTTAGGGGCCAATCAGATTTCAGCTGGGACTAATAACCCGCCCCTAGAACTGCCCCTGGCTCAGACTTTTCTGTGTGGGTTTCCTCCAGACACACTGTCCTCGCATGGTTTAAAAACATGCACATTAGGTCAGTTTTCAGTTCAGAAATGACCTTTGGAGCGAGTGTGTAGCTATGCATCATTCATTTTCCCATTCAGGTGAAGCTGCATTCAGCATTTTTGCTCCTTTGAAATGGAATGCTGGTTCTCCTGTTAATAATTTGAAGACTTATGGGATGAGTTTGGTGAGTCCTTGAATAGAGACTCTATTTGCTTCTAGGTTGCACACAAACACACATGTTTGCACAGCTATCTAATTGGGGACATTCCATTTGACTTCCATTACATTTCTACAGCCTAACCCTGACCACAAACTCTAAGGCTGACCTCACAGGTACCTACCTGACCCTAAAACTAACCTAAACTCAATTCACGCCTTGGTCCTAAACCTAACCCCCAACCCACCAATGGCATTTAAACCAAATGGGGACTCGACTTTTGTCCCCAAATGCACCAGTTGTCCCCAAAGGTAGGATTTTTATCTAAAAATTGCTTCCAAATGTCACCAAAGCTGTAACCACACACACACACACACACACACAC